ATGTTTCAAAAAAGAGAACAGTTTCAGAAATAAAATCAAAAGCCCATACTTAGCCCCGTATCACTTTTATCAAATCTAAGAGTTTGTGTTGTTTAGCATTGAACAAAGGCCACCACTTAGTTATAAAGTGTGTGTGTGTGTGTGTGTGTGTGTGTGTGTGTATGTGTGTTTAAAACTCAGGTATCCTACATATCAAATTCATGGTCTTGTATTGATAAGATAGTGTCCTCAAAAGGTAAGACATAAACAATGTGTTGTATTATGCTTGAAAAGATTTGGTGGTTGAAAAATTCCATCAGAATCACTGAAAGCATAGGTGAGCATTTATTGCTAGTGTAGGATTTACCTGGCTGTACCTATGTGGATACTCAATAGATGTTCAAGGTTATTTACTTTGCTATTATTTTTACTAATCCTTAGGAATGGTTACATATAAAGTTGAGAGTTTAAAAATTTGAGAGGAAAAGGCATGGATTTCTGAGAAATACAGACCTGTTTCACATATGCCTTTTCTACTATTCAACAGTATATACGTAGAGAGGTTAGTTAAAACTCAAAGACTTAGTGTCTTCATTTTTAAATTGAGAATATTTTATTAGAGGTTTTTGAGGAATAAAAAGTTTTATGATCTTCAGATAGATCTTAAATAGTTTATTGAATGAATGGCGCTGTCAATGATAATTTAAGACTAAGAGATTATGCTGTAAGACATGTATTTGGACTACTTATTCATTTTTTTGGTTCATCATTTATAAATCACAAAAAATTCAATAAAATTCTAGGTATATTGGAAGGAAATAAGGCCAATTTTTGGACTTATATATGTTTACTATACACATGCACACCTAACACAAAACTTCAAATGATATAATATGGGTATATAGTGACATCAATATTAGGATCCTTGAGTATGTTGTAGGTAATGGAACTGAGTTAAAATTTAGTGAGAATTGATGCTTTTGTGCTCAGTTTTTTGTAATCTTCAATTAAAGTTTCTGCAAGCTGGATATAACAGTAACAAGGACACCTATGAACATAACTAGTTCAATAGGTGAGTTTCATCCACCCTGTTCCATTAGATGATTGATCGCTGATGTCAAGGCAGGAGATTGGAGGAAAGGTTACTAACTTGACAAGTATGTGTATAGCAAGTCAGCAGTGAACAATACTACATTGTATACTTAAAATTGGCTAAAAAGATATATCTTAAAATAAATCTCGCCCCCCCACACACAAATGGTAACTATGTAGAAGTAATGGATAAACTATTTAGCTTAATTGTGATGACGTTTTCACAATGCATATAAGTATCAAAACTTTGAGTTGCAAGCCTTAAATATATAAAGTTTTATATGTAAAAGATATCTCAATAAAGTTGTTTTTTAAAAAATGTGCAGTGACTTGCTTTGACAGTAATTATCTCCCTTTGGAGCAGAGGCATAGCCTAGTAAGCCTGGGTAGTGGAGGAGGATTTGTACAGCAGGGAATGATTGGAAGAAGGAGCTCAAGAGCAAGAGAACAATGAGGGCAAGTAGGAGAAGCGGGGTAGAGAGGCTAAGGTTATAGTTAAAAATCTCTATGAGGTGAATGAGTTGAATCACTAAAATTAACTGGATAACACTACTCCAATTTTGCAGTTAAGCTATGGGTACTAACATCCTGTTTGCAGTAACAGCATCATTGTATTGAGTGTGACGTTGTGCCAGATGACAGAAAGTCACAGCTACTAGGAAAATGATCTAAGTGGTCAATAATAAACATACAGAATTATTTCAATAATGTATTGGTTTCTTCTTTCAACATTTTAATCTAAGGTTTATTTCCCTAAATTTTCTTAACTGCAGTTAATGTTAAATTCAAAAACATTTGGCTGTAGAGTTAGAAGCTGTAGTATTAGACCATTTATTTGTTCACTGCATTAAAAATATTTTCCCTTTTTAGTCAATACTTACTCACTAAATCAGATTTAGTGTATAAGTCCAAGCAGCCATTGAGAGAGGTACTAAAAAAATTTTTTTCACAACCTCATTTCTTTGGACACACTGAAATTTGACAAACTCCACTTCTTCCTTTAGTTCCTTTCTAGCTATAAAAACACATGGTGACTATAAAGTACATTGAGTGTGCATAGTTATTTCCTCTTTCTTAGCAGCAGTAGCAGCAGCAGCAGCATCTGCTCATCTGACTTTTTCCTGGGGCAGTTGCTTACTGGAGTTCAGATCAAGTCTTCTAGTTTATATAGTTAACATTGAGATAGGTTTCTTAATACTACTTTGTTTTTTCATTGGTATTTTAAAGTTGCATAATCATTTGTTCCACAGGCTTGTTTCAAGTAGTTTCCTTGAAAAAACATTTCTTTAAAAACAATGTTCTTTTAAAGACAAAACACTTATTATAACATTCTTCACAGTGATTTTTTCATGGGACATTTATTTTAAAACTAAATTGCAGTGGAAAGCCAGCATCTGTGTCATAGAACTTGAGAGAGTATCACACCTTCAAATGAAAATGCTAAAGTGATGAAGACAGAAAATCAGTGCTAAAATTAACACATGAAAATGACTCATGCATTTTAGAGTTCACAGATTCCATTAGAATATGTCTCTCTGAGCCTTTGTAGTTATAGTCACGGGGGTGGATAGGGGTAATGAAATGGAAAAACTATAGAATTGCATAAAAATCAAGAAACAGTTTCTCGTTTCAGTTCCAGCAAGAAAATAAAATTCATATTTTGAATAAATACTTTGGATTGTCACATATATTTATTTTTTTCCACTTGAGACCACTCCTGAAATGATAGAAGAATAAAATTTTATAAACTCACCGAAACAGAGAAAAAACAAGAAGGCAATAAAGATACTTTAATGAATTTTTGAAATGTGTAAATATGAAGAATAGTGGGAATTGTCGTAGCAGAAGAGTGACCAAGCCCATGAGTCCCCTTAAAGAAGAAATGAAGCCAAGTTTTCAAATTTTGAGAGAAAATGCTTTTCAGCTTAGAATACTCTGTCAAACTATTAATCAAATGGGATAAAACAACAAATATTTTTAGTGTTTGGAGACTCAGAGATTTATGTCACATGCATCCTTGCTTGGAAATTACTGGGGAACATGGGATTTTGTTTTTTCAGCAAAGTGGGAAAATTCAGAAAAGAGGAAGTTGTAGAATGCCATAAGGGCATGTGTAGCGAAGGAGGTCTCAGGATGACAAGTGTGGTTCGGATTTGAAGAGCAACTCATCCAGAACTGAGCCAGAAGATAAAAAGCTCTAAGACAGTGGTCTCCAGAGTAAAAATAAATTGATATTAGGCAGATATATGGGATTTGGGGGGGAAATATAAAATAGGCAGAAAATATGGTAGAAAAAATTAGATAATAACTTAAGGAAATTTTTTAAAATCTAGAAATGAAAATGTAATAGTCATACACTGTTTGGCTATGTAATGAATATTACATACATAATCATGAAAAATGTAAACATTGTTGATTAAGTTATGAGTAGGATAGAACGCTATTGATAATTTGGGGTAAGGCAAAATGGTTAATCAAACATGTAAAATGCATAAATCCTCATCTACAATAATAGAAAACCAATAGGTAATATCCAATATCATTAAATCAAAAAATAGCAGAATAAGCATAGCATTTCAACATATGGAGCAAAAAATCTCAGAAGACAATGCCTAAAAGTAGATGTATTCCATTTCTCTCTGAAATACTTTGGGTCAGGAGTAGAATTAAATTCTGTTTATTGACTTAGGAAAATGAATAAATTGTCTTTACATTGTTTATCTATAGTATACAGAGTACGAAATATTTTTCTTTTCCTGCCTAGTATAGAGCAATATCTTCAGAAACACTTGAGTTTATAACTAATGCATAGTTTCTGAAAGTGTTAGAAACTTTTTGAGGTCATTTGTGTTACCTTCATCTATGAGGTATCTATTGATGTGTAAAAAATTATCCCCAAAATTTAGTGGCTTAAAACAATAACATTAGTTATCTCAAAGTTTCTGTGAGTCAGGAATCCAGAAACCCAGACATGCTTAGCTGATCCCTATGTCTTAAAACTCCTCCGAGAGTTGGAACATACCACCCCATAGACAAAATCAAGAGAAAATAGATTATAGATTTTTCTCAGGTAGAAAAACATTGCAGTAAAGAAACTAAGCATAAACACCATATTTTGCCATGTATTATGTGCTCCCATATACAATGTGCATCCACTTTTTTGGCCCAAACTTTCAGGAAAAAAAACCTTCTCATTTTAATTCAGTTTTTTATTTAGTTATATTTAGAAATAAAACTGATTATTGTATTCCAGGGTATTATTTTCATATGAATATCATTATTGCTCTCTAGAATTACACTTTTAATGCATAAGCATAAATAAAAGAATTAAAAACATTTATATAGATACAGAATTAGTACTACCCATGTATAATGTGCACCCGTATTTTTTCCTTAAAAATTTGGGCAAAAAAGTGCACATTACACATGGCAAATTGTGATACATGTATATTTTTCTTGCCTTGATTATATTTATTTGGGACTTTTGCCTTTCTTTTTTATTTTTATTGCTATATACAGTGAATAATTTCTATAGTAGTGGTCAAAAGAGTTTTGCACTAAATATTCTCTTAGTGCAAACTCTGAAGAAGCAGAAGAGCCATAGAATAAATTCTAGTGTTAGAAATATACTTTTATGAAAGTATCTATGTTGTCTCAAATTTTCAGAAAGACTATCCTTGAAATATAATACCTAAACCAGCAACCTACATCCCTAATATTCTTGAGAAGTGACTAGAATTTCTCATAGTTGTTTAAGTGATAAAGATTGATCCTAACTATATCCAAAATATCTCTGAAAAAATATTTCTTTTTGATGACTTAGAAAGATACGTAAAAAGTTTTATTCCATTTGTGTATTTAATATTAGACTATTTTCCACATAGTTATAACCTCTCTCCCTCTCTCTTTCTCTCTACTTTTGGAAACAGACTAAGATGCTTAGTGAAGCAGCTGGAAAAAGGTGATGTTAACATCGTAGACTTAAAGAAGAATATTGAATATGCAGCATCTGTGTTGGAGGCAGTTTATATTGATGAAACGAGGTGAGTTTTAACCTCTCCCCCCTCATATCTTCTGTGCTTCTCTTCCTTTTTCTTTTTCTTGATATCCCTTTATCTCAAACATGAATTTAGCATAACTTAATCATGAAGTTAAAATCAAATCTTATTTAAATTGAAGAAGTTCTTTGTGTAGCTACTTAACTGAGCTATGATGTTTTCTTTTAAAAATGTACATTTTAATCCAAATGTTTGAATATCAAAAGTAATCAAACAATAAAATCATAAAATAAGAAAATTAAAGTCTCTTTTCTCCCTACCCTTACTGACTTTAAGTCCAGGTTTTTAAATGCCAGACACAGATATAAGCTTGTACTTATTTCACTGATGTAAGGATTTTCCTATTTTCTCAAGATTTCAGAGTTTGTTCTGAGGAAGTGGGTGTCACAAGGGCACACATTCCATGACATGTATCTGTCAGAGACTGTGGAGGGTTTACTATGGGCCTTCCCAAATGTGTATTTGATCATCACCTAAACCTTGTCAACTAGCCTCATAATTATCATATTGGAAAAGAGATTAGAAAATAGGGATTTTTATTTGAAAGCTGTGGCTTTCAACCAGGCTATTTGTCTTCCAGAGGTTATTTGGCAATGTCTGAAGACATTGGCTTGGTTGATGGGGGTGTGCTACTGTATGTGATTGGTAGAGGCCAGTGATGCTCCTAAACAGCCTACAATGCACAGGCAAATCCTCCAAAGCAAACAAGTATCCAGTTAATAGTATAGTTACTAAGAAACCCTACCCTAAAAGGAGAACTGTACATTTTCTCTTCCTTCTCTAAGAGGGAACTTACCCTTGACTTCGAGTCATGGGAGGGAGTACTGGGGCCCTGGTGCTAACAGAAGACTCAGTAAAATAGAACATGACAATTTTTGAGAGATTTTCTCAGTGTCTTTTGGAGTTTGGGGAGTTCTGAGATTGGTTCCTGACTCACATCTCAAAAAAAGATAAAGGTGTCAGGCTTATTAAGACTACAGTGAATTCACAGTAACGAGGGACTCTGTTGCGGGAGAGACATGCACTTCCAGAGTTGAGCAAAGAAAAGGCACTCAGTTCTTCTTTGTCATGAGGCAAGTGGACTAGAGGTCTTTTGAAAGGGGTAACCGAAGAAACTGGCTTAAGAAAGTGAAAAAGAGGCTGCATGAGGTGGTTGTTGATTTAAGAGCCAGGGTAGAAATCACAAAAATTTAGCCCAAATGTTAGAGAATATATAATGTTCAAGGTACCCTCTTGGTGTGGTGAGTTGTCTCTGAAGGACCCACAGAATCTCCTCAGGAGAAAAAAATAAGCATTTGGGCACTTGTCACATAGGTGAGAACAAACACAAAAGTTTTGTAAGACCTTGAACTCCTATACTTTTGGGGGCTCCCCCACCGCATTTTGAACAATGAGAAACAGGAGAGTGAATGGGGCAGGAGGCGGAACATGGAGAGCTGAGACATCTGTCAGACCCCTCCCCTTCTGCAGTGCCCCTGCAGAGGCGGGCATGAGCTTGGGAAGGCAAGAAACGCTAAGCCAGAAGGGAGATTGAAGCTTTTCTATATTGATGTGTAATGGATTTAAACACGTGCGCGCGCGCACACACACACACACACACACACATACACACAATGTTGTTTAGAAGGTAATAAATTCACATGATTAAAAAAATCAAAATAATGTTAGAAGGTGCCTCCTGACACTCTTGCCTCCGCCCTTGACCCAATCTATTCAAATTCCCAACTCATAAATATACATATACTTCCATTAATTTATCACAAATTTTTACTTCTTATTTTTCTCTTCTCCTTTTGTAGAAGATAACATACTAAGCACACAGTTTTTAATCCCCCTACTCCCCACCAAATAAGGATCTTGAGGTCTTCATATATCACATACTGAACTTTTCAATATCAATGTGAATTTTCACTAAATAACTGACAGAAAATAGCATTTATTTATTTAGAAAATCACAGGTCATATTTTTCCTTTGTCCACAGATAGGAGCTCCTCTGTTAAAGCATGCTTTGTAGTCATAAATTAAGAAAAATATCATAGGCACTCTTTTAGGTTGTAAACTCTATGCAGAATTGTTTTCTTGGTTAACTTTCACTGAATACATATCTATATATATGATTTCTCAGAGTAAACAGAGATTCAAAGTGTAAATTTTAAAAATCTGGTGTTACTCCTGTAACTTCCTTGCTCCTTCATTTTCATGTGAGCTCTTTATTGTTCACAGCTTGACTGAGCTTAACAGAACAAGTTTAAGATTTCTTAAATCTGTCCTTGACATTTTTAAAAAATATTTATTTATACAACTTTTTCCTAGAAGAAGTATCTGGATATTTACTTTATTCATCTTATAATGGCATAATGCAAATCATCTGATACACCTGAATGTTTCATCTTTCATTCGATATATCTAATATTTATTAATTTTCTGTTGTATTTGCTGTTTTAGAAAGTAATAATTTCAGAGATAGCCTGTTATCTTAGTTCCCCATGGTCCTTAATTCATTTAAACATGTGTTACATTCCAGAATACAGTTTCATTTATTGAAAATTTTTTTTTGTGGGAACAAAAATGCTTAACTGCTTCATGGTAAAGTTGTGGTTTGTTTGTTTGGTTTTTTTTACTCAAATGCCACAAGACTTTTTCACTGTTTATTTTAATGCTTCCATGCTTCCATGGCATCCCGATTTCTAAACTGGACTAATAATATCATCATACCCCTCCTTTGTATTGTCTTCCAAAGACTCTCAGTTTCATGGTCTCGTCTGAGTCCTGCCACAATCCTATGTGATTGACAGGGTGATCATTACTTTCCACACTTTGCTAATAAAAAAACTGAAGCTCTTGGAAGTGATATTGTTTGCCAAAGGTTGCAGACAGAGGCATCGCCCTGGGCTAGGAACTAAGGGACCATTTCTTATCTGCCACTCATCTCTGTCTAACTGGCTCCTCTCAGGGCAGTCCTATGAAACTGGATAGTTTTTAAGGATTTCTGAAAGATTTAGGTGACAAAGTGTAAAACTTTATGATTACTGGAATTGTAAATTCTGGGGAAACAATACCTAACATTTATTAGTAATAGCCTGTTATTTTGTCTTGGTATGTGCCAAGAACACTTTTAAGAATTTTAATGCGCTGTTTCATTTAATCATCACAACAATCTTATGAGATAGAAACTTTGTTCATGACTATTTAACATATGAGTTAATAGTGTCCCAGAAAAGTTATGCATCTTACCCAAAAACACACAGCGAGTAACTTAAGAGAGTTAGGACCTCAGCAGCCCAGCTCTAGGGCTTGAGTTATTCAGCACAATTCTCGTCTGCATCCCTTTAGTAATTCTGGCCGAAAGGTGATTTCAGAGAAGGTTGCATCTCTTGCCTGTGTTAAACACTTACCATCATACCACTGGTTAGACCTCGGTTACCTCAAATATATCTCCTAAGGCTGTGACCTCAAGATTAAAATATCACCTCAGGACATTTTGGGGCAACTATACTTGATGTGGTTTGATTTCCTATAAACTTAATGAGACATACAGCAGTAATTTTTGTTAAGATGTGCATACAATTATTAAAATTTCATTTGCCTTAAAAATATTTGTAAAACAGATAATTTAGAAAGGAGGAGGACTGAGAAGCATTTAGTTGTATTTAAACTTTAAATTAAAACCCTGCTAACTTCTGAAATGTTTTTAATGGAAAATTCTCTTTCTAGAAAAAAATGTTTCAGTGAGTATTCCAGAGAGGGATTAAAAAAAAAATTTGGGCTGGGCTGCACTGAAAGGTCAACACCTAATAAAGCAGGATGAAACAGAAATTATGAATCGCTTTAAAAGTCATAACACACACATACACACATATACCTCTTTTCCTTGGTGACTTGCTGACTGTAGCGTTTCAGTTAAATAAATAAACCAAAACAAAATGAAAAATGATCCTTCTTGAAAAATGATTTCAGTGAAGAAAAAAAAAACAGTTTCTGACAGAGTTTGAATCCTGACCTTCTCTGAGGGGTTATAGCGCGACTCCCTTATGAATTTGATTGTGTGTTGATTTTTTAACAAGACATTTCAAATGCAAATGCTACTATTTAATGAGCACTGCTTTCGGATGTGTCCCTAGAGGCTATTGTTTTTCAACGCAGCTCAGTTTTAATCCTGAAACAAGTGGCACCAAAAAAAAAAAAAATAGTGTCCTTTTTTGGATTGAGATTCTGAAAGACAAAGTAGTAGACTCCTTAGTCTCATGAATTTTTAATTTCTGAGAGTAGGCAGCTGATTGGGAGGTATACTTTTAGCAATAGATATTATGCTTACGAATACCCCTTAACAACACAATGTATAACTTCACTTTCTTAACATGAAGCAATTGAAGTCTTATGACTACCACAGTTAGAGCATAGATTATGGATTCAGTTGATTGTTCAAAGCCTGGATCTTTGACTCAGTACTCTTTCTCTTTAAGCAAGTTACTTAACTTCTATATTTCCTAGCTTCAGATGGGTAGCTCCCCATACCCATTCTTAAACACATGGCTTCTAACAAAAGGACATATGATTTAAAAAAAATTCTGAAACATGCTAGATATATGGATACTAGCGCTCAGAAATATGGTGTCAGAGATGTGAATTTGGGGATGGATGCTTTATTTTTATCTAAATAGTCAGAGCTCCTTTGCTATTTTACTATGTTTCCCATCCTAAAGTTGTTGAGAAAGCTCAGCAAATGTTTACTTATTTTACCAATCTGTCCTGCCTGACCCTTTCCTCTGCAGCCAGCTCTCTGGCTTCAAATTGCCCAATTGTTACCCTGCAGGTCACCTATTTTCTCCTGAAGTCCAGCAATCCACACACTGGTACTGCTCCCATGCATGAGCTCAATTCCTTCCGCCAGGTCCCCAGACTGAAGCTAGAATCAGCTGAACTGCTCTAAGACCTTACTGGTGGTTGCTCAGAGAACCCACAACTCAACTCCTTCCACAGAGGT